ACACCCACTTATGAGTGAGAACATACAGTATTTGTTTGGTTTTGTTTTCTTGTGTCAGTATGCTGATAATGATTATTTCCAGCTTCATCCCTGTCCCTGCAAAGGACATGAACTCATCCTTTTTATGGCTATATAGTATTTCACAGTGTATACATGCCACATTTTCTTTATTGAGTCTATCATTGATGGGCATTTGGGTTGGTTCCAAGTATTTGCTGTTAGGATAGTGCTGCAATAAATATATATGTGCATGTGTATTTATAATAGAATAATGTATCCTTTGGGTATATACCCAGTAATGGGATTGCTGGGTTTAATTATATTTCTAGTTCTAGATCCTTGAGGAATTGCCACACTGTCTTCCACAATGGTGGAACTAATTTACACTGCCACCAACAGTGAAAAAGTGTACCTGTTTCTGCACGACCTCTCCATTATCTGTTGTCTCCTGATTTTTTAAATTAATGCATTCTAACTGGCATGAGATGGTATATCATCGTGTTTTGATTTGCATTTCTCTAATGACCGGTGATGATGAGCATTTTTTTCATGTTTGTTTCGCTGCATAAATGTCTTCTTTTGGGAAGTGTCAGTTCATATCCTCACCCACTTTTTGATGAGGTTGTTTTTTTCATGTAAATATGTTTAAGTTCATTGTAGATTCTGAATATTAGCTCTTTGTCAGATGGGTAGTTGGCAAAAATTTTTTTTCCCATTCTGTTGGTTACTGGTTCACTCCAATGATAGTTTATGGTGCAGCAGCTCTGAAGTTTAATTAGATCCCATTTGTCTATTTTGGCTTTTGTTGCCATTGCGTTTGGTGTTTTAGTTATGAAGTCCTTGTCCATGCCTGTGTCCTGAATGGTATTGCCTAGGTTTTCTTCTAGGGTTTTATGGCTTAAGGTCTTATGTTTAGATATTTAATCCACCTTTAGTTAATTTTTGTGTCAGGAGGAAGAAAGGGATCCTATTTCATCTTTCTGCATATGGCTAGTCAGTTTTCCCAACACCATTTATTAAATAGGGAATCCTTTCTCCATTGCTTGTTTGTGTCATGTTTCTCAATGATCAGATGGTTGTAGATGTATGCAGTTCTTTCTGAGGCCTCTGCTCTGTTCCATAAGTCTATCTCTCTCTTTGGTACCCGTACCATGTTGTTTTGATTACTCTAGCCTTGTAGTATAGTTTGAGGTCAGATACCATGATGCTTCCAGCTTTTTTTATGCTTTTGTTTTCATTTTTTTTGTTTAGGATTATCTTGGCTATGTGGGCTCTTTTTTGGTTCCATGTTAAGTTTAATGTGTTTTTTCCCAGTTCTGTGAAAAAAAGATAATGGTAGCTTGATGGGTATAACATTGAATCTATAAATTACTTTGGGCAGCATGGCCATTTTCACAATATTGATTCTTCCTAACCATGAGCATGGAATGTTTTTCCATCTGTTTGTGTCCTCTCCTTTAGCAGCAGTCTGGGAGTTCACTCATGATTTGGCTCCATTTGTCTGTTATTGGTGTATTGAAATGCTTATGCTTTTTCACATTGATTTTGTATCCTGAGACTTTGCTGAAGTTGCTTATCAGCTTAAGGAAATTTTGGGCTGAGACAATGGGGTCTTCTAAATATACAATCATGTTGTCTGCAAATAGAGACAATTTGACCTCCTCTTTTACTAATTGAATTTTATTTCTTTTCTTGCCTCAGTGCCCTTGCCAAACTTCTAATACTATGTTGAATAGTAGGGGTGATGGAAGACATGTTTGACTTGTGTCAGTTTTCAAAGGGAATGCTACTAGTTTTGCCCATTTAGTATGACACTGGCTGTAAGTTTGTCATAAGTAGCTCTTATTATTTTGAGATACGTTCCATTGATACCTAATTTACTGAGAGATTTTAGCATCTTGAATTAACAACTCAGATAATTACGTAATCATATAAAAGGAATATTCCTCTTTTGCCTGTATTAAACTATGACCTCATCTGAAGAGGTATGAAATACTCCAGAACATGTCTCTCAACTTAGCTTTCCTAAGTTACAACTCCATTTATTTTCTACATATATGTGTGTATATCTGTGTGTGTGTGTGTGTATAAAATAGGTGCCAGTGTTGTATATACTGGCACCTATTATATATGTGTGTATATATATATATTTTTTTTCTATATATACATATATACATTAATATATAATATAGATTATATATAATATATTAATACAATATATATTATACATTAATGTATATATATGCATATATATGTTGTATATACTGGCACCTATTATATATGTGTATATATATGTTATATATACACATATATATGTTATATATACATATGTATGTGTATACCAGTACCATCTGTGTGTGTGTGTGTGTGTGTGTATATATATATACACACACACACACACACACATACACACACATATGGTACTGGCACCAGTACTGTGTGTGTGTGTGTATAATAGGTGCCAGTATATACAACATATATATGTATATATATATATACATATATAATATATATTATATATACATTAATATATATTATATAATATATAAATGATATAATGTGTATATAAATATATATTATATATATACATATATATGTTGTATATACTGGTACCTATTATATATGTGTGTGTGTGTGTATATATATATATATATGAATGATATATATACTGGCACCTATTATATACACACACACCAATGGAACAAAATAGAGGCCTCAAATAACACCCCACATCTACTATGGTCTGATCTTTGACAAACCTGACAAAAACAAGCAATGGGAAAATGATTCTCTATTTAATAAATGGTGTTGGGAAAACTGGCTAGCCACATGCAGAAAGATGAAACTGGATTCCTCTCTTACATGTTACACAAAAATTAACTCAAGGTGGATTAAATATTTAAATGTAAGACCTAAAACCAAAAAACCCCAGAAGAAAACCTAGGCAAAACCATTCAGGACATAGGCATGGGCAAAGACTTCATGATGAAAACACGAAAATTAATGGTAGACAAATGGGATCTAATTAAACTGAAGAGCTTCTGCACAGCAAAAGAAAATATCCTCAGAGTGAACAGGTAGACTACAGAATGGGAGAAAAATTTTGCAGTTTACTCATCTGACAAAGGGCTAATATCCAAAATCTACAATGAACTTAAACAAATTTACAGAAAAAAAACAACCCCATCAAAAAGTGGGTAAATGATATGAGCAGATACTTCTCAGAAGAAGACATGTATGTAGTCAAAAAACATATGGAAAAAAAGCTCATCATCATGGGTCATTAGAGAAAGGCAAATTAAAACTAGAATGAGATAACATCTCATACCAGTTAGAATGGCAATCATTAAAAAGTCAGGAAACAACAGATGCTGGAGAGGAAGTGGAGAAATAGGTACACTTTAACACTGTTGGTGGGAGTGTAAATTAGTGTGGCGATTCCTCAAGGATACAGAACTAGAAATATAATTTGACCCAGCAATCTCATTACTGGGTATATACCCAAAGGATTATACATCATTCTACTACAAAGGTACATGCACAGATATATTTACAAAGCACTATTCTCACTAGCAAAGATTTGGAACCAACCCAAATCCCCATCAATGATAGACTGGATAAAGAAAATGTAGTACATATACACCATGGAATACTATGCAGCCATAAAAAAGAATGAGTTCATGTCCTTTGCAGGGACATGGATGTAGCTGAAAACCATCATTCTCAGCAAACTAAGACAAGAAGAGAAAACCAATTACTGCATGTTCTCTCTCTCATAAGTGGGAGTTGAACAATAAGGAGACATGGAGGGGAACATCACACACCAGGGCCTGTCAGGGGGTGAAGGGCTAAGGGATAGATAACATTAGGAGAAATATCTAATGTAGGTGATGGGTGCCGCATCACACCATGTCATATGTATAACTATGTAACAAAACTGCATATTCTGCACATGTACCCCAGAACTTTAATTAAAAAAGAAAAACAACGAGCAAGCATGAAAGCATCTGCCAAGCTGTCTAGGCAGATTTGTAAATGAAAATATAAAAATTCATAGAAATTAAAAACATAATCGCTAAAATTAAAAAGCTCAATGTATGGATTAAATAAGTGATTAGATACTGGGGAGAATCCTGAAACTATAGACCTGAATAATTCAGTAGCATGACGTACAGTAAGATAAAAAATAGAAACTGGGAAGGAGAGGGTAAGAGATGGGGAAGGTGTGAAAATGCAAAGTTATGTCCAGAGTTTCAGGAAAAAGACCATAGAAAAATGAGGGAGAGGTCATATGAAGAAATAATGGGAATTTCCAGAACTGATAAAAATGTGATTCTGCAGATAAAAGAATCACAAAGTATATAGCAAGCAAGATAAATAAAATGTGTGTGTACTTATAGTGGAAGAATAGAACACCAAAGACAAAGTACTAATTACAACAGAGAAAAAAAATAGTGTCTAAAGTAGTAGCAACAAAATTTAAAGGAAATGCTTGAGAGATAAAGGATACATAGAAGAAAAACATTGTTTATATCCTTATCTAGGAAATATTATTCATAAATAGTACAACATTTTTTTTCTAGATAAATAATGGTACTCTTTCTATGGAAACAACCAACCAAAGTGCTTTCTGGAATAACTATCTGAATACAAAATATAACACGAATAAAAAAAGGAAAATTGACTGTCATTATTCTTGATATTTTCATGATACCATATATATCTGCTCATTTTGAAAATACAAGTATTTAGACATCCCACTTATAATTGACTTGTGAAGGAATATCTTTCAGTAGAAAATAAATGGAGTTGTAACTTAGGAAAGTAACATTAGGTTACCAAATTTCATATTTAAGCAGTATTAAATTCATATTCAAGAAGTATATGTTTTTGTAACTTACCAAGCACTTCTTCATGCTTCCCCTGGAACCATATGCATATAATTTGAAAAGGTGCACCCTCAGCAGTAAAGCGCCAGTGTCTGCCTTTCTAGGACTCACCTCCCCTTCTGTAGACTGCAAATGGAGCTCCTTCCTGCAGGTGGCCTTGAAGTCTCCTGCAGCAGCACTCACCTGGACCCCACGAGGAGCTTCCATGATCAAGGATCTGGTGGGTGATTCAAGCCTAAGAGAAAAACAAAAAAAAAAAATACTAATAGAAAAGAAAAATTTTGATAAACCAAAAGACATTACCCAAATTAAAAGAACTACCAGACAAACATATAAACCAGACAGGCATAAAGAGTCCTGTCATTTAAGCAAAGATAAAATGAGTCTTAGAAAATTTTTTTATGGACTTATCTATTTTTTGGCTCTTTATAAAAATCTACATTTATTCACATCAAGTATTTACTCTTACTTGCATGATGATTTACTTAGGGTTTCTTTTGTCATTTCCCTCATAATACTCATGAAAAGTAGGGTGTGATAAGTATACTTGCTAAAATTTTTAATAGAACACTAATATTAATGATGGAGGTTTAATAAAAAATTACAATTTAGAATGTAGATGTATATGTTCCTCCATAAAGAGTCCCTGTCTTGTAAAGATGAATGCTTTAATGAAAATCAATTACTATTGCAAACTTTCAGGCACGTACAGTCAGAATTTTGTGAGCTCAAAAATTTTCAGAGTACTCATTAATGAAACAAGACATTTTCTACATCAACTAACTCTTTTGGCTCAGTGAAATGTCTACAGAACGAGTGACATTAGTCTGGGAAACAAAAATCAATAGGAGGGTAATATACAAGTACAAATGTGATTGAAGGTTGGCTACATAAACCATGATGGTAAAAAAACAAGTGTTTTAGACAGTCATGTCTACAAAAAAAAAGAGTTGGGAGACAGTTTTCAAATTATCTTCAAATATAATACTAGGAAAAAAGCCAAAATGACAGAATACAGGTGCTAGAATGTAGTGGTAAAAAGTCCTAGCATGAGAAGAGGTAGGATCCATGCCTTGGACTTTTTAGATCAGCTCTCTGCCTTGGGGATGCAGCTGCCTGTGCTCCCCTTGACCACAGGACTTTAAGATGAGGGTACCCTCAGGCTCACATTCAAACTCTTGCCCAGACCAACTAGTTTTGCTTTTGTTTTCTGAGGCAATGAATTCAGAGTTGTTTTGTAGAAAGAACCACATCAAATGGTTAGGTCTCTGGAGTTCAGCTCCCTCGCAGCAGGGAAGGCATACTTAAAGGCTTAAAAGTGATATTGAAGGAGTAGAGCCAGCATATAGAACTGGTTTCAACCTTTCATTTTCTCTTTTTTCACTCACCAAAGCAACTTTTAAACTTTAATCCTTATGGGCCATTTGGATATCTATCTTTGTATAATCCCTGGAGGGGTGAAGTTTTGAATGTATCTATTTTTAAGAAACATCTGTATTTTTTAAACAAAATTCCCCATATTTTCCATAAAACATTTGAAAACTTGAAAAGAAGACAAGCACTCATAATCCTATTAACTTATAAAATTTACTATTAGCATTTTATGCATTGTATTTAAATGTCAAAATTGGAATGCTAAAATGTATGTTTTATCACTGATTACCCCTGATATACAACCCTTCTGGAACTACCTAATAAACACTCTTAGCAGCACAGTATCAACAAATAAATATTGCCCCACTTCTTTCTTGTATGGAAACTCTCTTGTTCACTGAGGAGGGTTTTGCAGACTATCTTACTTATAGTAGAGGTTTTCAATTAAACTATTCACTTTATTATAAAATGTTCTCTCAAGAAGCCTGTTGAAAAAGGAATCTCAGGTTTATTGGCACCACTTGTGGATTTCTATGTAATTTGTCAATGAAATTAGTGAATTACAATTGCATTGATTTTGAAAGCATTATAGCAAATACAGCAGTGAGTTTCAGACTAGTTTTCACAGGGGGTAACTAGGATTATTATAGCACAAAGAAGGATTAAATTTAACTCAAGTCTCTCTGCCACCTGTTTTGTAAAGCATTCTGTTTGTTTATGGTGTTTATATACCAAAGATGCAACAAGATACTGTTTTTAAGGTGTTACGCAACTATCAAATATAAAAATCTGTGGCCTAAATCTCTAGAATTCTCAACATTCTGAGAAAAGAGAATTCAGATTTTAAAAGAACCTAAGTTGCAAGATGCAATTATTAAATATTAACTTAAGCAGAACTTAAACATCAGAAGAAATGGAAAGAGAAAGAAAGCAAAAATCCTATTTATCATAATGTTCTTCTCATAGGTAGAACAACATCAGCCAAGTGATGTACACCTTTATTTAGGAAATGTCTCAGGACAAAATCCTCAGTGCTTGAGTACATTAATGATGTGTATGTGAGCTATGTGTTTCTAGACATTAACTTGGAGCCTGCAAGCCTTAATATTTCTGTTTTAAGCTGCATTTTTTAAAGAATGAGAATTATGAAAAGATGCCAATTACATGATTAAATATTAATTCATTTTACAGAATCCAAGTGGAGATTATTTTCTTATTCATGGAATAGTTAATGGATCTGAGATCCAAAACAATCTTTGGAAATGGACATTGTATAATTAGTATCAATACTTTTTATCATAGGTGCAGAAACTCTTCAAATGGTAGTAACTTTACTATATATTAACGTAAGAAATAGAAAAGAAAGAACATTAGGCCATTCTGGGCAAATTTACTATTATGTCTTGATTAACCCTTTAACATGCATGTTTGAGCCTTTTAAAATATAGACTCCATACTACAAAACAGTATCATCTTAAAAAAAATAATCTGAGAAAATCTAGTTTTAAATTCCACATGAAAACTAACACAGAACTTGAGAAATAGTACACACTCATCAAACATCTGCTGAATAAATAAGTTATAGAAACTCACTACATTTCTTCACTAAAATATCAATATTCTATTAATGTAATTAACTGTGAATGCTTTTTTTTTTTTCTAGTCTTTTTTTTCTTGACAATAACAAAACCAAAGAAAACATGGATACTTACTCCCCAAACTATCATTTCATTGTCTTGGCCAACCAATGTCACAATACTTACTGCTATGAAAGGAAAATTGTCAGCAAGGCCTGGAAAGTTTTTCTCAGACACACTGCTTTTATTCTTCATTACACAAATAAATAATTGAATATCTATATAATTACTGTATTTTCCTTCTGTTTCAGTTTGGAAATTTAGTAACACTTATCTTGGGGGTTGCCAGTCTGCTTTGAGAACTAGCTGATAACTCCAGCTTAGTACAATGTTTAAATAATGATGACTAATCAGAAAATAAAAACCAGAAATATTATATACTAATTATAATATTCACATTTTCACTTATGAATTTTGAAATATGTCAGGAAGATAAAGTAGCAGTTGATTCTTATTCCTTTTTTGATGATACACTCTACATAGTAGAAATTCCAAAATGTTACTAAAATGTTAGAAATAAATATTTCTAAAAGAATATATTTAAATAAATTTTTAAATACTTATATAAATTTACCAATTTAAAAAATTTACTCAATAAATTAGTAACCAGCTGTTTCTATATTAAAACACAGATTAAAAACAACTGGAATCAATGCTATTCACATGTGTCTTTGTAATACAATAATAACTGCAGCCACTTCCCTTATATCCCATTTATTTAGTTAATGTCCTCATTATTCAGCTTTGCTAAGTTTCAGCAATGCAAATTAACAAACATTTATTGCAAGTAGGATGTGTAAAATACAGTGCTGACTGCTACAGAACTAAGGATAAACAAGGGAGATGTGTATCCTGTTCTAATGGAAATTTTGTTAGGAGAAGAAAGATATGATAAACATTTTTACAAAAGTTGTTCAATTCCTCCCTGAAAAAAAGCACCATAAATGAAGACTACAACACCCTATGAGATGCTGTTTACACACATTCCTCAGCATTCCTAAATCTCTAGGATTTCTATATAGAGTAGGTAATTATTATGTTGCTCTTCTAAAATAAGTCTTGGTCCTTGAAGGAGGCCACTTTTTCTAATATTGTTCACTAGCTAGTTTGAATCTGTATTACTCAAATAGTGAGAAACTGAGTTTTTAAGGAAATTTTAACAGAGAATTCTAAAGGACTACAAAATTTACTGTTGTAAAAGTATGGTTTTATTGCCTTAAAGATTTCCAACTATTTTTTTTTTTTGTTTCCATCTGAGCATGTGTACACTCATCCAATGGGAAGGGATAAACACCAATCCATATGAAATAAAAAGGTCTTTTAATATTTTTATTTTGCTTCCCAAGACAGCAACTGTGTCTCCGAGGCTGATACTTTGATCCAATTTTACAAGTGACTATTAATATGTGATTAATTTTCATCAGCACTATTTGTGTCTTTCCTTTTCCTATACAATAGTATGTTTTAGAATGTAATTTAGTTATCATTAATTATTATTAAGCCATCATTAATTGCCATATCTTATGTATTGAATTAAGAGCATCCACTGAGCAGTTTTGTATTAGGGATCCAGATTTTAATATTTCAAATGTAGTCAACCATAGTAATAATGATCCTGGAAATAATTCCCCATAATGTTGGAATTATCTGCGTAGTAAGAGCTTTTACATATAATGCCTCTTAGAACCATCACAATGTCAAGAAGCAGCTTATTCTATTGGAAGTATTACATTGAGGAACCATTCATAGACCAATTAAGTTCTGCCATTTTCTGATTAGATTCTATTTGCTTTCATATTTCCTGCTATATAAAGCTCTGTGATCATTTATAGCTTTCTCAACTCTCTATTTGCCCTGTTTTTATGTGCATATATGTCATATATTTTATTATATATGTAAGATTTTCCAGCATTCCTTTTTGTTTTGTTTTTTGTTTTTAGTGATGGTGTCTTGCCGTGTTGCCCAGGCTGGAGTACAGCATCGTGATCATAGCTCACTGCAGCCTCAACCTCCTGGGCCCAAGCAATCCTCTGGTCTTAGCCTCCTAACTTGGACTACAGATGTGAACCAACATGCTTGGCTAATTTTGTTTTTATTTTTTTGTAGAGACGGGTCTCACTATGTTGCCAGGTCTTGAACTTCTGATCTCAAGTTATCCTCCTACCTTGGCCTTCCAAAGTGCTGAGATTACAGGTGTGAGCCTTTGTGCCTGGCCTCAGCATCCCTATTTTTATTAGTTGCTCTCACTCTATAACTACCTTTGCCTTTTCTTTTCCACATTCTTCCCGTGTAATGTATTCGGTTTTATATTTATTTTAAGTATATTGGAGGAAACTCTGTCTAATTGTTTATTTTACTTCTTCATATATTAAGGATTATCAATAATGATGGAATTTATGGCACAGGTATAAGAGGAACGCTTACCTGAGATCTTGAGATGGCTCTGCTCTGATGTGTGGCGTCTCCACAGAGTGCCCAAATACAGCTCCTTCAGTGCCTGGGAGTAGCATGAATACATAGCAGTCAGTGTAAGAAAGTTCACACCGCAGCGTTCACCTCTATTTTTATGTATCAAATATTCTTCCAAAAGAGAGAAAACTTAAAATAGGTATCTATGATGTATTAATTTGTTTTCACACTGCTGATAAAGACGTACCTGAGACTGAGAAGAAAAAGAGGTTTAATTGGACTTACAGTTCCACATGTCTGAGGAGGCCGCAATCATGGCGGGAGGAGAAAGGCACAGCATATATGGTGGTGTTAAGAGAAAAATGAGGAAGATGCTAAAGCAGAAACCTGATAAAACCATCCATGAGATTTATTCACTACCACGAGAACATTATGGGGGAAACTGCTCCCATTGTTCCAATTATCTCCCATGGGGTCCCTCCCACAACACGTGGGCATTATGGGAGTACAATTTGAGATAGATTTGAGTGGGGACACAGAGCCAAATGATATTGCAAGATATGAATGAGAAGACTTGGAAGAATATCACCAGGTAGAGAAGAGTCAAGCAAGGTAAATATAAACGTCATTATATTAACTGATTTTAAAATTAAATTATTTATAAAAGTCAAGAGTAAGTGAGAATTCCCATTCAAGAACAAAAGCTCATCTTTGTCCCCTGACTTACTTTCCAGATAAAAGAAATTGAGGGAAGGATAAGTCACAATACTGAATTCTGCATTTCTATAATTAATAGCAGGTCATGAATAAAATGTGGAGGTGAGCTCTACTTTATCCTACTATTGGTTTTTAAAGACATAGCCTCATAGATGTTTAGCAGTTCTCCCACATAGAGCTACCACCTTTGATTATAGTAACCATCAAATGACAGGGAACATGTCATGTTACTTTGACCTCTCTAGAGTAGGGCTTTATCTAAAACCATAAACAGCTTTATTTCATTTTGTTATAGTTGTTTTCATATGGGATCGTAATTTTCCAAAGAGGTCATGTACTCTAACATCTTCCTCAAGAGGCTGAATGATACTCTATCTCAACTTTGATTTACTAATACACTTGTTTTTCCAGATTCCTATAGCTTTTTCATAATTTATCGGAACAAAATGGAAGGATTCTTCTGTTTCCAGAATCAAGTGGAAAAAAAAAAAAGTTCCAAATAAGATGACATTAACAAAATCAATCTCTCTCTCTCTCTCTCTCTCTGGTAATTCTGCATAAACACCTTAGATTTTCACCCTCAAAAAACTTTATAATTTTGTTTTCTGGTCTAATCTTAAAACTTCTTGGTATAAGAACCTCATGTCTGTTCCATCAGTGGCCACAACACTAGCTAAATTATACAATGTAATTTAAAAATATATAGATTTTAAGCATACAAAACAAATCTGTTTTGTGTAATGAGAAAAATCATGTAAAATATATTAACTCAAGAGGCAATGATGAAATTGCCACTAGGAAATTAATGCTCAAATTCCAATTCCTTAAAAATAAATTGCTATATAGGGAAATGTATTAGAACCATCAGATGACTCCTTGCATAACGTAGCAGTAGAGACTTTGATCATGAATTGAAGAGGAAGAGATTTTTTTTCAGAACTGTATGATTTCATCTATATTTTCATTCTGAAAGCAAACTTATGTGGTTCTGCTGCAGTAATTCCTTAAGATTACAGATCTCTGCTTATCAGCTAAAAGCTATTGTCATTTGTTGAACTAGACTGTGGGACATACAGTCCTTGTTTTTTAAACTTTTTTCACAAATTTTGAGAAATTATTTCTTTATTTAAGGGTTTTATTCTTTTGATATTTTGGAAAATATTTATTACTTCAAGTAGAACATTCCTTAAAATGGGCCTTAAAAGTTAAACAGTAGTTTGAAGTAACACTAATTTTGTGATTATGGTGGGGATAGCAGTCGAAATAATATTATAAGATATATATTTGTATATCTCAAAGAGAGACTCTGGCATTTTGTAATAAGATATACATACCAGAAAATATAGTTATCCATGTGCAAAATTCAAAAATGAATTTCCACTATTGTATGATATGAAATTTCCCAGATAAGGTGACAGAAATATGATTAAACATCAATAATACTATTTACTTTCAAATACATAATTGTACTTAGTAACTAAGCACAAAACAATGAAAATAAAAATAGATGGTCATCAAAAGTTTAAATTTTTAATGAGATTTAAAAACTGATAGAGGTCTCAATTCTGAATTCCAATATAAAATCATCATTTTTAAAGGATTTTTCAGGAAATAAGTATGTAATCATGCCACTTAAAGGGTGAAATTGTAAACTAAATAATACAAGTGATTAACAAAATGCAGGGATCTAGAAAAGGAAAAAATCACTCTCCTTGTTTTCGTCCTGAATGAGCCAAAGATACAATATTAATAAGCAACACAGATAATCTTAAAGGAAATCAGTAAGGGCCAATAAAACCACCTGAACTAGGTATGTACTTTAACAGCATAAAAAAATAAAAATCAGAATATGCACAGTGGCTCATGCCCATAATCCCAGCACTTTAGGAGGACAAAGTAGGCAGATGACTTGAGGCCAGGAGTTCTAGATCATCCTGGCCATCATGGTGAAACCCCATCTCTGCTAAAGATACAAAAATTAGCTGGGCGTGGTGGTGCACACCTGTAGTCACAGCTGCTCAGGAGTCTGAGGCAGGAGAATAGCTTGAACCTGGGAAGCATAGGTTGCAGTGAGCCAAGATACCTGAGATTGCACCACTGCACTCTGGTTTGGGCAACAGAGGGAGACTCTATCTAAAAGAAAAAAAAAAAAAAAAAAAAAAACTTAAAAAATATGTCTCCCATGAATTGAAAAATTTTACCATGCAGACAAGTATGGCTGTAAGATTTAGCAATTAAAAATATATGACAATGAGTTAATTTGAATTTCAGATAAACATCAAATCATTTTTAGTATAAATATAGGATATTGTCAGAAGATGTACTTATCCTAAAAACATATCTTGAGTAATCAAGTAAATTCAAAATTAATAAGGCATCATGTACTTTATCTGGAAACCCTAACAATTTGTCAACATTCATTTGGTACACAAGGACAGATCTTTTCTTCAAGAAAAGAAAGATTGGGTCACAAATTCTCATATCATAGGCTCTAGAAACCATAGAAACAAAAAAGGATAGACATGAAAAGGTCAAAAGGAACATAACAGAGACATATTAATATTAAACTTATTGAATAAATAAGTGTTTGTTTTCCATTGCTATTGTAAGGGGGTCTTCAAAAGGGTACAATGTTCAGTACTGCTTGATTATATAGTCTTGTAAAGGATGTTTCAGATAGTGTAAAATGACTACAATGTTACAAGACATAGGGGAAACATATACTATTAGCTATTGCAATTGTCAGAAGAAAATGAGGTAAGAAAATTCAGGTCCAAAAGTAATAGAAGCCATTCATATGATAATTTCTGGCTTTTGCAGAAATGAATAAGGATAACATATTCTGCTTTGCTGGAAATGAGAAAAGGTAGATATGGATTACTGTCCTACTTTATATTTAAAGACATTTTAAGACATAAGGATACCACCCTTTACATAAATGCCACAACCTCAAAAACTAATTACCAAAATTAAATGTAAGCACCTCTTCTGATGTGACTATCTATATTCTAAATGCTATCTACACTATAAGTGTTATATCCTACACTACTCATTATTCACCCATTGACATTCATATATTTTTTACAGAAGACACTGGTCCCAGAAGAAGAGGTAGCACACGAAAAGGAAACCCAAGGAGAAGCACCAGAAAGAAGGAAAATAACCAAGAAAGGCAGGAACACATCACATTGAGAAAAAGAAAGGCAGGAAATTATATTTTTAAGTTACTTTATCTGATATTTGCCAAAAGAGAACTTTTGCTGGTCTGTAGTTTTTCAATAAAATCAACTATGATGATGAATATTTTTGAGGATTTTTTTTATTGGGGGGCAAAGGGGGGAATGAATTTTATGTAAATATCAAACTGGTGTGAAAGAGAAACTACAAAAGGAATTCAGAGACCACAAGGCAAAGGTTAACAACACATGGGCATCTATCCTCTCAGCTCTATGGCACTTTACAGGAATCTTAGGCAGCATTTCAAATTCCTATACCAGAATAGGGATGAGGTGCACGACTATTTATTTGGGTAGCTCTCAAGGGACAGAAAGATTCTCATTTGTTTATGATCTTCAAATTTGTGTGTTAGTGAATATATTCAAACTTTTCAGAAGTCTCCCTACCTTTCTTTTTTTATTTGCATCTGTTCCCCCAAATCTAAATTGATATTAAAATCTAGATGAACTAGGAATAGATTTGTTTTATTCTCAGGTTTGCTTATCAGGTTTGCTTACAGTTTGTTTTTAACTCTCAGCTAAGTATTTAAAGCCCTCTGTTTTTATTTGTAAAATTAGGCTCTGAATAACATGATCTCTAAGGTATTTTCAACTTCTACCAGAGTTACACGATTTTTTTTCAAACATGTCAAAACTTGTATACTAATAACTCTTCTCATTCCTCCTTAAATATAAGGGGAAATGAGTTTGCTCCTCCAAACCAACAGAAAATTATTTTGGGGAAGGGATGGAGTAATAATACTGGAAAAAACATTAGTTGGCATTTCTTTTATTCCATTAAAAAGAGTTCCTGAGGTTGTCGGCAAGATGGCTGAATAGGAACAGCTCTGGTGTGCAGTTCCCAGCAAGATCAACGCAGAAGGTGGGTGATCTCCACATTTCCAACTGCAGTATCTGGTTCATATCATCATTGGGACTGGTTGGACAGTGGGTACAGCCCAAGGAGGATGAGCTGAAGCAGGGTGGGGTGTCGCCTCACCCAGGAAGCACCAGTGGCCAGGAAACCCACTCTTCTAGCCATGGGAAGCCATTAGGGACTGTCCCCTGCATGCCAGCACAGACATTGTGCTTTTCCCACAGTCTTCACAACCTGCAGACCAGGAGATTTGCTCCAGTGCCTACAACACTAGGGATC